TGGGGAAGCAAATGACAGGTGGAATGACAAAAAAATCAGAGATACAGTAAAATAGTGATGACTTACCGCTAGTGTGTATTGTAGGGGCCGCGTGCTACATGTGAAGTAATAATAAAACATGTGAAGTCGGGGGTTGCAAATCAGATGAAGATCGCGCAGCGTGAGAATGCGACGGGGCGTTAACTGCAGTCTCTCCGTGTCACCGCCGCTTAAGACTGGACCGGTCCGATCACCTGCTGCCTGAAGTTGGTGCGGATTCTCGAAGAACATCTTTTGCTCAACCTTAATGACTAGCTTATGATCTCTTTGGCTCGATCACAGTAGTAATACCTCAAGTAAATCCCGTTGCTCACCGTCAGAGATTAGGCTTCAAAAGTGTCCACACTGTTTAGCGAATTTCCAGGAAGTAGAATGGCTGTCATCCAAGTACCCAACCGTTAGCACATACAGCTGTGTACTCTGCAGTGGCGACAAGCTATCTGATGACGATTTATCATGGTACGTATAGGGTGAAGTCATTCGGCGCTTCTAAACGACTGTCGCTATGCACTGATTTATTTCCGATCTAATGCGTGGTTGGGACAGTGACTTTATTGAGTGGCGAGTCACATCCGATAAGTCGCAGTGTTGTTAAACAGACATTTGTGGCTTTTTGTAGGAAGAACGCTTGCCAGGCGAAAACCCACAATGTCCTGGGACACTGCCGTCTTTTTCCGACTTTTCCCTGAGGCGGGACGAACCTGATAAATAGCAACCGAACGATTCCGTTATAAGTGGGTACAAACGCAATGATTCCATTGGAGGGGCTCATAGGGATTCTATACACTAACACGACCGTAACCTGAACCGAGGAAGTGCAAATCAAGACTGCGAGAGCCTCAACAGATTTGTCGAGAGACTGAAAAATGCTGGTCCTCACATAAAAAGCTACACCACCCCCTTGACGACCAATGGAGCGGTCAGCGAGGAGCAGTGCTTAGCCAGGCAGATATACTACGCCATCTGTGATTTCCTCAGACAGCCACGTTTCAGTGAAAGCAAGTATATCTGGAGTTGATTTATCTACGAGCAGACCTACCTATGTAGTGACCTGGAAATTGTCCTGTTTGTCTGTGTAAAATATTAATGAAATATATCATTCTGTACATAGACAACTTAGGAAGCTTGCCTATTCGCACAATGACTTCGTGTGTTTGAGTCATCTAGAAGAATCGCATTCGCGCGCTTCTGGCTTTTCCGCCTCAAGTTCAACTTCAAGTGGGACTGGAACGATAGGATTATTCTGTGAGTGTTGCTTCTTCAGCGGGTCGTTGAACAAGGAGTTGGCAGACTTTGAAATACTAATGGACCTAAAACAAAGACCGCATCACACCCTGTCCAACCAATTAATGACCACGTATCTTGGTTACGTGAAGAGAAAAAAGTAAACTCAGAAGGTAAAAAGAGAAAGTGAAAAGAGCTAAGCAAATGGAATACCAAGATAGTTGAGTTATTAAAAAAGAACTGAAAAGTGAAGGTGAGTCAGTTAGGAAAAAGGAAAGGTTTTGGTGTTGCCACACAAGAGCATAGAGCTGGCGCGCAAAACCCTTAACCTTAGGTTCCCTAACCACGTGATCTGGCAACGAATTCCAGCGATCTATAACTCGGCGCGACAGACGAGTTTCCTCCCTAATCCTATCAGACCGTGGTTTATGCAGTTTCAGTGGGTGACCGTGGAGATTAGGTAACGTAAATAGCCCTGACAAGTCCGGACCGACCTTGCACGTCAAAATACAATAAGTAAGAGTCAGGTCCCCTCTTATCGTCCGGTAGTGCACTGAGTAAATCACCAGAGCAAGCGTTCAGGATAGGTCTGTCCTCGTAGATCCTGCACTAACCGAGTGCCCACTCGTAACACCCTCTCCAAGTCCATTTTGTCTCGGATAAGACATGGTGGACAAGCCTGGATACAATATCCCAGGTGGGGTCGGACGAATGCCGAGAATAGCTTCGCAAACAAATTGGCTATTGGGATTCCGACAAGCAGCCTTCTTCCAATTGTCGACAGAACGAAGTGCTGATGAGTGTACGGCCCCTAAATCAACCTGCTGAGTGACAACTGGGAGTTCATCACCGCCGACAACATATCGGGTGGGGGGATTAGCAGCTCCGATTCGGAGAACAGAGCACTTGGCCCTATTTATGGGCATCAACCATAAGGTGGACCATTCCCAGAGTCTATCCAAGGCACGCTGAATTGCCTCAGGACCTCCCGGGATATCCCCAATATTCCAGAGCTTAAGGACGTCAGCAAACATTAGTGGTGACACTCCTAGCTCTCCCGGCAAGTCATTTACACAGATCGCGAACAATAATGGCCCCAATACCGAGCCCTGCGGAACGCCACTAAGGACAGCTTGCCTGAGCGAAAGGTTACGCCCCACCAGTACGCACTGTTGCCTCCCCTCAAGGAAGGCAGACACCCATTGAAGCGCGCTATCAGATATACTGTAAGATCTCAACTTTAGTGAGATGAAGAACAGTGTCAAAAGCTTTCGAAAAGTCCACGAGTAGCACGTCTACAGCGTGGCCACTGTCTACCGCTTCGGCCCAGCTTTCACGAGCTACAAGTAGATTAGTCTGACATGAAAATGTCTTGCGGAATTCATGTTGCGCAACACTGAGAAGGTTGAGTCTATTCAGGTGGTTCTCCACTGAATCCCTTATCAGCTTTTCAAACAATGTGACTACTACGCCTGTCAAACTGACAGGCCGGTAGTTCACGGGCAGAGCGCTGTCACCGCCCTTAAAAATCGGACAGATGATTACCTCCTTCCATTCCGAAGGTAGGATGCAGCTGTCAAGCGATATTGAAAACACTCATGTGAGAGGAGTACTCAGCTCAGTGGCCAATTCATGTAACAGCTTCGGATGAGTTGAATCAGGACCAGAAGCTTTAGAGGGATTAATGCCTTGCAGTAGCTCGAAGACCTGAGTCTCCTTTATGTTAAACTCTTGGGATTAGCTGCGGCCGAGTCCACTAAACCCTATTCGTACTGGAGACGAATAGTCCTGAGTTGTTGCTTACAATTATTTCTAATCTCTCGATAACTATCATAGGTACCGGCTGATGGAGCTGCTTAGTAGGTTCGCCAGCATCTAGACCGTTTCTTGTGTAGGTACCTGCCTGTGATATCTATCCATGGAGGCTGTGCCCATAACCCTCTTTTCCTCATGAGTGGAAGATAGGGAGTGGAAACCACCCTATGTCTTAAATATATCCCAGGCTAACTGGACAGAGTCAGCCATCGAGATCTTACAGTTCAGAACTGAAGCCTTAGCTCGCATTGCACCAAAGTCCGCCCGCCAAATATTCGGAAGTAATACAACAGCGGTCTGTTGGTGCCTTGAAAGAGCACACCGAAAGGATATGCATGCGTGATCGCTGGACCCTAGAGGTGCAACGTATGAAACGTCAGTCATGAAGCCGAGGGACAGCGAAAACCAGATCTAAAGTAGATGGTATTTCGTTGTCCATATACCTAGTGGGGAAGTCCACGAACTGGTGCAAAGGCACTTGGAGAGTCAGCTCAAGATAGTCTGCAGCGAATGTTCCTGACGCCGAATTGCAAGAAAGATCGGCCCAACAGACTTCCGGGAGGTTGAAATCCCCTAGAACTAAACAATTATTCGCGGACTGAGTGCGAATAAAGTCAAGTATCCCACTGGAAGAACTTCCAGGACTCCTGCATATCACTACAATTGTCAAATGGATAGAGGAAGTGCACAAAACAGCCGACAGGGCTTCAACAGTCTGATCCAACGGCTGGAATGTGCAGGTCCTCAGCACATCTAAGTCACAGCACATATACAGTACAACGCCTCCGTCTTGACGACCAACGAAGCGATCAGTTCTAAAGCAACGCGTAGCCAGCTAAACATATAACGCCGTCCGTGATATCCGGAGACAACAAAGTTTCAGTGAAAGCAAGTATGTCGGGACGAGATGTGTCTACAAGTAGACCCAACTCGTGCACCTTGATCCTTAGGATACGCATATTGCTAAGTACTACCTAAAGGAAGTCGGCACGATCATCCCTGGGTCGTGCGTCATCAGGATGGGTTCTGATAGGGCGGAAAATAACTTCCGGCTGACCACCTGAAAACCCACCAGACGGAGGCCTTGCACACCAGTCGCCCGGCTAGTTTTGAGGTTTTTGATAGCCTCCTTTAACTTCAATCCATTTGCCAGTGGAAGGTCCAGCTGAACGCTGACACCACTACCCCCAAGTTCGAATGCAAACCGCAGTAATGATTTGCGTTCCTCTGGGGTAGAAAGGACCACACGAAGTAGTCAGGGTCGCGGATTTAGCGTACCGATAGGGACGTTCCCCAATCTGGTCAGGTTTCTGACAGTGACACCAGGGAAGCCAGGTGGAAGCAGTTTGCTGACACAGTTTCAGCCACTTGATGTCATCCAAGATGCGTTCCCTTGGGAGAGCAGCCGCAAATTCAGTAACGTTACGGAATATAACGCTATTATCCGTGAAAGAGTCGGAACGACGTGGATTAGATTCGACAATTATACCAGCTGTTTTCACCACTGGCGGTGGGACTATCCCTGACTTTTCAAACGATGTCGAAGCAACGGTAGCGTAGGTTTTCCGTCCTATTGCCGGCGTCTTACAAGTTAATGGGCCTTCAAGTCCATTCGAAGTTTTACGGACAGATCTAGTACGCTTCTTCTTCTGGCTAAAGGGAGCAGGGGCCGTTGACCTTGTGTCGCATTGAGCAGTTACCAACACTTGATCAGAACGGGCTTGTTCAGTGGCAGCCGAGACGGTCAACACCTTCGGAATGTTCTCCTGTGCACAACCGTCAGATGACTTTGCGACTGCCAAAAAGGACATCTTTCTCAATGCCGTGGCAACTAAATCTGGGTGCAGCAGAGGCAAAAAACTTAGCCCCCGGAGAGGCTAGTCAGATAATCTATTCAACCATAGATCGAATTTCGTTCTTACCATGCGCTACTATACACGACAGAGAACTGTCTCGGCTGGCGACTATAGCTTTCCCCTAGCTACAACAATTATACAAGTTAGCTAGAGGTGGGAAACACCTCAGCTACTGTGCCGCAATACATAGAAGAAAAAAGAAAAAAAAAATGCAACTGGTGCAAGCCGGCTGAGCTACCGGTAACTGATGGGCATCGTTCTGAGAAGCTACCAGCCGGCTACTGTGCGTCAAAAAATTACTATGCAAAATTATATGAGGCTAAATAGTGAGATCGCGGTTGGAGAGGGAGGCTAAGAGGGATGGGGTGGGACAAAGAAACTCACAGTACGAATGCCACTGAGGTCGGTTCCTAGCCATATCAGCAAGTGTATCCAGCCAAACGTGTTCATCGTATTCGGACCCCAACCAGGGAGCCGAGACACTCCAACCGAGGCCAGCTCCGAAGTGAGCGCCTTCATTCCTCTCGACCAAGTCATCGCTTGGTCACCCCTCCTCTTCTTTCATCCACACCCCCGGCGCGCAAACAACGCACGTCACGGGAGTCGGTGGGCTGGCATGCGTAACACGTGGCCGAGCCATCGGAGCCTGGTGCTTGAAATAACGGTGCTGAGCGGGTCATTTCCATTTCCTGTGCCGTAAACAAGGCGTCGAACACGCTCGTAGCTAACTCGGTGTTCCCACCAGATGTGAGCTAAATTGCGAAGGCACCGGTGGTCGAACGTAACTAGCCTCTTCAGGTCCGCTGCTTTAAAGGGCTTGGTTTCACAACCGTACAGTAGGGTCGAACCTACCACTGCATTGTACACTTTACCCTTCAGGGCAAGAGTGATGTCGCGCCGGCGCCATAAGTGACGAAGGTTAGGAAAAGCGCCTTGAGCTTTTTCTATACGGTTCGTGATCTCATCTTCAATCTCACGGGCGCTGATGCAATTTCCCAGGTAGTTGAATTTTTAAACGACTGCTAGCTGATCCCCACCAAAGGTCAGCGTAGGAGGCGGTCCAGACTAATCTTGGAGGGACGCTTTGCACTTCGATAGTGCAAAGCAAAGCCCGAAGTGACGGACAGCCAGTGCTACTCTGTCCAGTGCTACTTGGCACGTTTGTGAACTGTCACAGATTACGGCAATATTATCAGCGTACTCCAAGTTAAGAAGTCGTTCTTCTGGGAGCAGATCCACACCTAAGTCGTGTCCTGTAAACGCGATTTCCATGACTTCATCAATAGCGAAGTTGAGGAGGAAAGGTGACAGCGGGCATCCTTGTCTCACACCGCTGGAGATATTAAAGGGCGACGACAGCTTGCCGTAAGCCCTCACTTTGCCCGAGCTACACGCATACAATGCTCGGATAATATTTACATATTTCTCAGGTGCACCCTTCCTGAGTAGACACACCCAAGGTGCACGTCTATCCACCGAACCGAATGCACCTTTGGTATCGGAATTTGTACTGTGAGTTCTACGCGGTAACTCGATTTTTTGGCGTGCCATACTGATCGAGTTTTCTAGCTGAAGTATTGTGGAAAACAGTGTTTGAATAAACACGTGAAGCGAAATTTGACTATTGTCAAATTTTCTCTGATCCAAGATATCTTGGATCGATTCAAGTGCTACTGGACATAGCGTCTCCTTGACGCTTACTGGTAATTTTTGCGGTTGTTCCCCTTTTTAATCCCGTTTCACACCCTGTTTTGCCTTTTTGTGGTTGTTTTACGGTCGTATACGTGTTTTTCAATTCTGCTCAGTTTTCCACTTTAAACATGGTCGTCTTAATAAAAACCGAGGCGGATGAAATCTTTGGGTCCTCGATTGATGAGTCCACTGCAGTTTGCGGCAATTCTGCCTGCTCGAGACCAGTTACGGATTCATCTGGTGGTATGCAGTGTGATGTTTGCTTCCGCTGGTATCACAAAGGTTGCACCGGCCTCCGAGCGAACCAGTACGCTATGCTATCATCCAGTGAAAACCTCCTGTTTAGATGTGCTGATTGCTGCACTCAGAAAGCGAAGTGCCCGGCTATCATCTGTGCCGAATTTAAGGCACTGGCATGCAGGTTCACATTGGTTGAGAAGGCGTTAGTCGGGCTTGCCTCGCTCAACTCTAAAGTGGACTTGATTATGAATCACCTGAGTATTGCAAAGGAGGACTCTGTAGCGAACTGTCCCCCTGCTGACAGTCCATCCCTTGATGGGTCGTTCATCTTACCGGACGCTCCAGTACACATTGAGATAGATGACTCATATGCCTCGGATGGCATTGTTGACCCTCCACAAACGGAGGGCGAGTCACGGGCTCCTGGGCCGGAAAAGAATGGGCGAAAGAGGGCAAGAAAAGTGCGCAAACCCTCCGCACCCAAACCGAGAGGTGTGAAGACGCTCAAGGTGCAACCACCTGAGCGGGAAACACCACCTGGTGATGCGAATCCCTCAGTTTCACCTAAGATTGTGCAGGCAGGGGGTAAAAAACCCCAGATGTCTACATCGAGTGCTACTCAAACTGCGGCGCCTACTCCAAACACATCTTGTCTTCCAGGGGTACAGGTCGTGGAGGCAGGCATGGACGTTGAGCCACGGGCTTTTTCGCCTGCAGGACGAAAGAGAAATCGGAACAGAACTGCCCGTACTCTTCAGGCAGGTTCGAAAAGCGTCAAGAATGACGGGACAAACAAGCTGGAGCCTAAGTCGTACGCTACAGTTGCTTCAACCTCGTCTGATAACTTGCGCCCAGTCTCGTTTCCCGCGGCTAAGCCGGTTGCGGTTCATGTAAATTCCAAAACCCGTGGGGTAAATACACCCCGTCGAGGTGATGCTTTCATGGATAGCAGCGTGATATTCCGTAACGCAGTGGAATCCACTGCTGCACTTCCTGCCGAACGTACATTAGACGACCTACAGTGGTTTAAGATGTGCGTAACCAAACTTCTTCCGCCTGGGTTTCCCGGTGTTACTGTCAGGAAACTGACTAGATTGGGTAACGTCCCAGTTAACGCCCCAAACCCTCGACCGCGCTTACTTCGGGTAGTCCTATCTACCCCGGAGGAACGCAACGCGCTGTTGCGGTTTGCCTTCAAATTGAAGGGTACTAATGTTAGTGTTCAGCCAGACCTCCCATTAGCGGATAGGCTGAAGCTAAAAGAGGCCATTAAGGACCTCAAAACCAGGCGAGCGGCCGGTGAACAAGGTCTCCGGTTGGTGGGTTTTCGGGTGGTCAGCCGGCGGTCTGTTTCCGCCCTACCAGTGCCAGTACTGGTAGCGCACGACCCAGGGCTGGACATTACGAGTACCTTCAAATAGTGCTAAGCAATGTGCGGAGCCTAAGGAATAAGATGTGCGAGATAGGTCTGCTTGTAGATGGGTCTCATCCCGATATACTTGCATTCACTGAAACGTGGCTGTCTCAAGACATCACGGACGGTGAAGTACATCTGCCTGGCTACGCACTATTTAGATGTGATCGCTTCGTTGGCCGACAAGGCGGGGGCGTTGCGCTTTACGTTAGGTGTGAACTTGACGTTTCACGCACCTACATGTTTCAGACGGCAGATAAAACTGTCGAAGCGCTGTCGGTAGTGATTAACACTTCCTCAGCTCAACTTACAGTCGTACTTGTGTATAGAAGCCCTGGAAGTGCGTCCAAAGAGGTGCTTGACTTTATTCGCTCCCAATCCGCAAACAGGTGTTTGATACTGGGGGATTTCAACCTACCAGAAGTTTGCTGGGCGGATCTTTCTTGCAACTCGGCAGAAGGTACTTTCGGGGCAGATCTACTTGAGCTTACGCTACAAGTACCATTGTATCAGTTCGTGGACCTCCCCACTAGGTACATGGACGCCCAACTCCCGTCTATTTTGGATCTAGTGTTTGCCAAGTCACTAGACTTCGTAGGGGACATCACTTACGGCTCTCCCTTAGGTGCTAGTGATCATGTTTGTTTATCGTTCAGGTGTAGTCTGACCAGGCGTCACCAGAGCATTGCTAAGCCATTTCCAAACATATGGCGTGCTAACTATCAGGCAATGCGTACCAAGGCTGCTGGGATGCGTTGCGAAATCTCGGTGGTTGATACGGTTCAGGCGGCCTGGGATAAATTTAAATCTTATCTCACGGAAGTGTCTACTCCCTACATCCCGCTTGCGAGGAGAAAGGAGACACGGGCGCGGCCGCCGTGGATAGATACCACTGGCAAGCACCTGCTCCAGAAGCGTTCTAGGTGCTGGAGGACCTACCGTGCGGCTCCATCAACTAGCACCTATGCTAGGTACCGCGAGGCTAGAAATAGGTGTAAACAACACTTAAGGAAAGCTCGGCTGGTGTACGAAAAGGAATTGGCTGACGGAGCTTCGGAAAATCCGAAGAAGTTCTTCGCTTATGTTAAGAGACGCTGTGGTTCAACTTCGGTAATCCCAACTTTGATGAGGGCCGATGGAACTCGTGCGTATGCGGACTCAGATAAGGCTCGTGTACTTGGGGAACAGTATGCAGGGGCTTTTGTACGTGAGGCCGCGTTGACTAGCGTTGAATTTGTCCCCAGAGTACCTGATGGTTCTTATTTAGCTGAGTTTACTGTGGTGGAAACGCAAGTCCTTAAACTGCTGCAAGAACTGAACCCTTCCAAAGCAGCTGGACCTGATTCAATTCACCCGAAGCTTCTGCATGAGTTGGCGGGGGAACTAAGTGGACCGCTGACGATGGTGTTTCAGAAATCACTTGACACCTGTACATTACCTTCCGAATGGAAGGAGGCTGTCATCTGTCCTATCTTCAAAAATGGCGACAGGAGTCTGTCAGCCAATTATAGGCCAGTTAGTCTGACTAGCGTCGTGGTCAAACTGCTTGAAAAGCTGGTGAGAGATTCGTTGGAATGTCACCTGAATAGATTTAATCTGCTCAGTAGTGCACAACATGGATTCCGGAAGGGATTTTCGTGTTTGACGAATTTGTTGGTTGCTCGTGAAGTTTGGGCCGAGGCAGTGGACAATGGCCACGTGGTGGATGTGCTTTTCGTAGACTTCTCGAAAGCATTTGATAAGG